TATGATTGATTTCGTTGTTGTTGTTTCTGTCGTGGTCGTTGTTGCTGTTGTAGTTGATGACGTTGTCGGTTCTATATGAAACAAGAGCATTTAATGGAGTTTTCTCCATGATTCACTACTTCTCTATCTATCAAAAATATATCTGGTTGTAAATACATTCATATGGCTTCTCTCATTTCTTCTTCGATAATATTTATTTATAATTATGTTTCTATTACAACAATTGTAACAAATCAGTTGGTACAGCATGACTTTAGTGCTAAAATCTTTTCGAATCTTATAGATTAACTCAACTAGTATAGTTCATTCTACCAAAGTTTCCGAGAAAATAATGACCTATACATGTAATAAAGTTTATAAAATACCTACTATTAATTGTCATTCAAAAATATAGTAAAGTTTTTTTATTGTCATAATTAATACGATAATAAGTAGACTTTTCCACAGATCATGTACTATACTCAGAACGATCATTATAAGCACCGAAAACGGCGTCTTAAACGGGTTTAAACGATTATAAAACGACGTATTACTGCAACGCGAAAACATCCGTTTACGTTGCCATTATTTTTAGCCTGGGTATGTTTACTTTTCTATCAAGTAGCTAACCAAATAAGTCTCTTCTGTGAAGACTAAATTGATCTCGTTTACTAAAATCTATGTAAAATGTCAACAATAATATTTTATGTTGTTTCATTAACTCAAATAATTATAATTAATAATTATTCTCATTAATTAAAAACATATTCTTTTCTTTCTTTTTTTTATAATTTTATCATGAAGGTGGAAGTGGGTAAGAGCTCAATCTGTCGCATATAAACGATAGGATACATTAACTGAAATAAGTGATTTAGTTTAATATGTTACAGAATTACTAGATTCATCTACATGATGAATGAAAGATGCACTTTAAAAGAATAAATACTTTGGTTTGTAAGAATTGCTTAAGCAAGTTTTCTGTTGAAATGTGAATAGGCTACTATCCAACAAGACTCAAGTCTTATAAAACTCTGCTATGCCGTATTCTTTATTTTGTTATTCGCATAGAATATTCAGATAAAAAAGTGAAATCTTGATTTTTTTGAAAAACTATACCTTTTGATGTTGTACTGATTTCTATTGTTGTTTCTATTGTTAATAGTTCTGTTGTTGTCGATTTGCTTACAGCTGTTTTTTTCGTTAATACGATAGTTGTTGAAATAATTATGATCAGCACAACAACAACAATAAAAACTATGATCCACATCAATTTTCTCTTTTGCAATCGTTCCCATCTACAATAAAAAAGATTCATTTTTGTATTCACTACAATTTATAATATGCATACATGGTAATTAATAGAGTAGCTGGTGTTTGAGCGATGCCATCATTTGCAGGTTGAGACTAAAACAAGTAAAAAAAACATATATTGTTTCATATTAATTCTCTTAATACACTACAAGATAAGCTTCTGCTCTGTTTTTCGCCATAGTTGATATTTTTATCCAAGCCTGATATTCGTAGAATACCTATATAATTGAAGATCTATGAGAATTAGAAAACAAATCAAAATAATATTTAAAAGTTTTCAATCTTGCATAATAACTGTTAGAAAATTATCTAAAATTATTTATGAATTGAAGATTTTTCAGTAAAAGCAAGAAGAAAATTATGCAAATATTTAATTAATATGATAAGCATTGAAGTCACACACAAAAAAAAGGAAATGCGTAAGTCTGTTCTATATTTTTTTCAGTGTTTAGTATTATTCAGTATAAACATCAAACCAAAATAGATAATATAATTGATCTGATGCTTAGTATTATCATAAGGAACAAGTAAGAACCATCATTTTCAGCAATTCCTGTGCCACAATCGCATTCAGCTTCGATACAAGTCTATTCATAACTGGTAAAGGCATACATATGAGTGTATTGGTGTGTTTTGAACATGTCCAGATAATTTTATTTTCTCTTCATATGAATATCCTTCATTTTACAATAAACCTTATTACATCTGGCTTTTGCTAGCTTTGCTACATATTTCTCAGTGTCTAACTTTGACAAAATAAAAAAAACAAAAAAAAAGTTTTCAGTTTGTATATCAGTATTCAGTCATTTTAAAATGGCAAATTTCATTAGATCTTTTTCTTTTTCAAGAGATTATCACTTTGTTTTGTGTATGCTGAAGAAAACAAGATTTTTTTCTCAGTTAATTCACTAGAAATCTATCAAAACTGTACTTTCAAAATATGATGAATATATAGGTAATTTATACAGTACCATATTAAGATTTAAGGTAATTTATTGATTGATAATGCTTTCAGAAATCTTCTATGTTTCAAGAAATTACAGTGTAGAACTTATCAACAAAAAATATCTCTGAATTACAGGAAAAATAGTCATTAGCTCGGTTGCTAGATTCATACTTTTACCAATGCGCGATCCATTTGATGTAAAAAAATTCATAAAACACAATATCAATATACACGTAAAAAATATACTGTCTTGCTATTTTTTTCTCTCGTTAGAATCACTTATGAACAAAATAATGACAGATGTGAGCTAAAAGCCTTTAACATAAAAAATACAGAAAAAAATATTTAATATAAAATCGGATAAAAAGCATTTAAAATCATCACTTATGAAAGGAAATCCATAGTGTATCTAATAGACACTGAACACTTAAGAGAGGGTCCGCCAGCCCTTCGAGAATTCACATAACATGCAATTTTTTAAATTTGAACCAAAATATACCTATTCGATAGCCCATGTTAAGAAACCTCTGCAACTAAATTTTTAGGTCAAACAAAAAAAGATTCACTGAGATATGAGATTTTCAAAAAAATGGCTATTTTCCATTTCCTGAAAAACCGGGCAAGTCGTATTTCGCGTCTTTCTCAGCCATTTTTCGATCGATTTTTTTGAGCAACGTCTTATTTAAAAGAGAAAAGAAAACTGAACAGAATGCGGTACTTTTTACATCCAAAACATGACATTAAGAAATCCAAAAATTTTAAAAACCCTTTTAGCAAAAACTGGGTTTTGGGGTTTTGATCGAAACCGTTTTGTTATAGTTTCTGTACCACAAATTTTATAAGCCTGTCTTGTAGAGAATTAAATTCTCTACCAGACCGACTATAGTGTGTATTTTTGAAGGGCGGGCAAGGTCTTCAAAAATCCAAATTACTAAAAATACCCACTCGGATAAAGAAACTCAAAATCTCGAAAATTAATTTTTTTGTCTTTCTTATAATGAATTCTGATCAAAATAAGGTTGAACAAGTGAAGGGTCGATTGCAAAGAGATTGTTTGATCGGTTTTAGTAAGTTTTATTGCAAAAAAAATTTTTATGAAAATATACCCGTAGGGGGCCTCAGCCATTTTTCAGAAGAAATAACTACTGGAGGGTACTACAGGTATATTTTCATACAAATTTTTTTTGCAATAAAACTTACTAAAACCGATCAAATAATCTCTTTGCAATCGACCCTTCACTTGTTCAACCTTATTTTGATCAGAATTCATTATAAGAAAGACAAAAAAATTAATTTTCGAGATTTTGAGTTTCTTTATCCGAGTGGGTATTTTTAGTAATTTGGATTTTTGAAGACCTTGCCCGCCCTTCAAAAATACACACTATAGTCGGTCTGGTAGAGAATTTAATTCTCTACAAGACAGGCTTATAAAATTTGTGGTACAGAAACTATAACAAAACGGTTTCGATCAAAACCCCAAAACCCAGTTTTTGCTAAAAGGGTTTTTAAAATTTTTGGATTTCTTAATGTCATGTTTTGGATGTAAAAAGTACCGCATTCTGTTCAGTTTTCTTTTCTCTTTTAAATAAGACGTTGCTCAAAAAAATCGATCGAAAAATGGCTGAGAAAGACGCGAAATACGACTTGCCCGGTTTTTCAGGAAATGGAAAATAGCCATTTTTTTGAAAATCTCATATCTCAGTGAATCTTTTTTTGTTTGACCTAAAAATTTAGTTACAGAGGTTTCTTAACATGGGCTATCGAATAGGTATATTTTGGTTCAAATTTAAAAAATTGCATGTTATACGTCAAAGGCAATATGCTCGATTCTGCGGTGGAACGTCTCTTAATACCAGAATATTTTATTATAGTTTGTTCATTTAGAAAAATAATGAGTTACAGACGGTGTTTTTTTATAAGGAGTAAATTATGTTCAATTCAATAATATAATATTCGACGATTGCTTCATTTGAAATCATACTCATATAAAAGAGAAGTGTATTATATAATTCCAATGATATAGTTGATTATATACGTAAGTGAAGTAGGCAGCCGATTCGAGTATTTCCACCGGTGATTCGTCTGTGATGCGTTCCAGAGGGTTCCAGAAGAGATCCAAGTGCAACTCGACGAGCTCTATCCATTGGTCAAATCAGATTTCTAATAGCTCTAACTGAACTCGAAAAACCATCGTGAGGGTGTGGGGTGGGTGGGGGTGAGGGTGAGTGTTAGTGTGAGTGTGGATGTGTTTGTGGGTGAGATTGTGAGTGTGAGTATGGGTGAGGTTGTGGGTGTAGATATCCCTTGTTTAAGGTGAACTCCTACACTCACACCCTTAGCTGTTTCATCTTCTCTAAATAATGTGTTTCTTTCTATTTATCATTGTTAGTTTAATTAAAAATAAATTTAGTGATCAAAACACTCATTTCTTTGTGATCATCTCGTAGTTCTCAAGTTTGATCATCAAAACTCAACTTTTTGGTGGTCAAAAGACTACCAACCCAAATTTTATTGAAATCAAATATTCACTTCATAAAAGTATGTAGCAGTGAGAGTGTTGATTTCGAGTATGAATGTGAATGATAGGAGTGAGGTGTCAAAATGTCGACAAGCGAAGTATTCACTTAAAAAGATCTAGAAACTCTTGAGGGTGTGTGTGTGAGCATATCTTCTTTAACCACACTCATACCCTCATCCACACCCAGAACTGATGTTCAGCTTGGTCCCATTCTATTTATGAATAAAGAAGCAAAAATAAGATAATCTATTTTTTAAAACAAGCATACCAATCCCATTCTCCTTCATAATCAATGGGATAATATCCAAATGGACAAGTTCTTAATGGTAATCCATTACATGTCTGTCCAATATAATCACTAATCACTCCACAAACTATTCCTGACGCATCTTCTACCTTTGAATCACTTTTATAACATATCCATTGATCAACTTGAGTATAACCTGGTGGACACTTTTCATTTGGACTAAATCCACCACATAGATTACGTGCTAGACCACCACATAATGTACCAAGTGGAGCACCATCTTTTTCCATAGTTGTACTGTTTTTATAACAATAAGCAACATTGCCTTCGAGTTGTTGTCGCAAAAACCCAGGAGGGCAACTATCTATTGGATTCTATCCTTTGCATAAAACTTGATTAAGATTTGATGGATCGCCTCAACCACATATCGTACCACGATAAACTATTGTATCAGCAAAACAAGCCACAGGAATAGTAAATAACAAAAGAATGCTAAGAACCTTCATTTTTTTATTGAAATTGAAAAAAACGAACGAATATCTTATACATTCTAAAAAACAGTTGGTAGTGCATGAATCAAATTCTCATAGTGCACTAATCTATCCTTGAATCATATATATATAACATGCATTGTCAAGCCACCTTTTTTATTTCTCATCAAAAAAGGAGATGTTAAAATAATCGTATTCATAGTCACACCCTCACAACATACTCTACTTCAGTTATAAAAATCTGTATTAGAAACATTTTCATGGTGATAAAGTAATTTTTTTAAATAACATGTCGAAATAGTTCCACTTCTGATAGATACAACTCATGTAAATGCTACACAACTACTGTTATTTTTACATCGTCTGTACGCGACGTCATCTCATAGAATATGATCGTCATTTTATAAAGAACCATAAAAACTGAATTATAACTAGCTCGAAATTGGTTGCGGTGTCATGGTGTATAGATGAATTTCAAGTTCGAAATCAACGCAAATCGACATAATTATTCATCATTCTTCTTACACTATTGCTAGATATTCTATTTGTATACAATGCATTAGTTAACATCACACAAACTATAAACATCCAATCACTCACTTGCACATGTACACAAATACCCATCAAACATTCACTTCATGAAGTATGTAGCAGTGAAGTTGTTGATATCGATTATGAATGTGAATAGTAGAAATACTCTCACCTACCCTCGATATACAGTAAAAAAAATCAAAATAAAAGTTTTTTTTAAATATAGAATGTTTTATTAAAATTTCGATAAATTCTAATGATATCAACGATAAAAAGTTTAGCTACATGCTTCACCACATGGTTCATCATTGTCACTGTCTTTACCACGTTCATCGGAAGAGTCTTTGAGTAATTTAGATTCAATTGATTCAATAAATGCATTAATATCCCGTGATTCTTTGCTTTCTTTCGTTTGTATGTGATCATCTGTACCTTTTTTCATTTCTAGTTTCTCATATTGGTAATAGAGTCGTTTTGCCCAGTGCAAATGTTTAAGAGCTTCTTGTGGTTCATTGTCTTTAAGAATTCGTCTACCTCGTTCAAAGAAATAATCAGCGATATCATGTGTCATTCGTTGTAATAAATCTGCTTCATGATCAAACATTTGCACATAATCCAAATAATCCATGCACCAATCCATTTGCTTTTCAATGTC